AGTTAGGGTCACTGGTGGGAACTAACCTCCCTACAAGGGCCTTGGTGCTTAGTGCTCTACTTTTCTCTATCTGCAAGCAGTCCCTAAGCTCCAGGACACCAAGTACCCTGTTTTCTCTCAGGGCCTGGCACTTAAAAAAAAATCCCATTTTTTTTAAATGGGATTGAATGATGACTGAAGGTGCCATACCATGGTATGTTAAATGTTTTCTGCATTTAACATACACACATCTGTTTGAGTTATTAAATGAAAGGATTCTAAGTAATTAGCACGAAGCACTTTGATTTTCCCAAGGAAACTCAAAATTCTCTGACAACACAGCTCTTGCTTAGACAATACTTAATAATGTTTAGGTATATCTGTTAGCATAGAAGACTCATAGGAGTGTAAGAAACTCTCCACAACAAGGAAAGGTTTTTGGATTCTTTTTTTTAAGAATGAATAAAATACTATCATATGTATCTTGACAGAGATTTCAAAGTAGCTTTGTGAATGGATCATTCTACCATTGTCCCTTAATGCAAGGTTTTTTTTTTTTAAAGATTTTATTTATTTATTTGAGAGAGAGAGAATGAGAGATAGAGAGCACGAGAGGTAAGAGGGTCAGAGAAGCAGACTCCCCGCTGAGCAGGGAGCCCGACGTGGGACTCGATCCCAGGACTCCAGGATCATGACCTGAGCCAAAGGCAGTCGCTTAACCAACTGAGCCATCCAGGCGCCCGCAAGGTTTTTTAAACTGTGGATCTCGATGACCCATTAGCAGGTCATAAAATTAAGTCTTGATGAACATTAATAAATTAAAAATATCAGTGTTGGGCGCCTGGGTGGCTCAGAGGGTTAAGCCTCTGCCTTCGGCTCAGGTCATGATCCCAGGGTCCTGGGATCGGGTCCCACATCAGGCTCCTCAGCAGGGAGCCTGCTTCTCCCTCTGCCTCCCTCTGTCTCTTATGAATAAAATCTTAAAAAATATATCAGCATTATGATACATTAGAAGTGTTCATTTTGTAAAACGTGTTTCAGAACTATAAATCTTGTGTATACAGGGTTATGAGATTTTCTTACTGGGTGCCAGAAAACAAAGTCAGGTGGGTCCTCTGTGAAGTGACATTTCTGTTTGCTAGGATACTATCACCAAACCTCTACCAGGGGGTGGAGGGCACTAAGCTACTGTTCGGTCTAAAGGTGCATTTTCAGTCTTTATCTTGCCATTACAAAAATCCATTATTTTTCATCTTTGGTGATCATCCTTGCCCATTTTGGTGGGAAGGGGATGGGAAATGTACTTTGCTATGCTGCAAATACAGCACCCCCTTCAAATGCCTGGATGCTTAAAGAAATGCACTGGTTTTTAAAATCACAGTACTAAAACAGAGTTCAAAGCACACTAAATTTAACTTTCCTTGATGACTCAGGACTTAGTCATCAAGGGTAAATTTTGTTCGGTAGACGTGATCCCCACCTGTCATTGAAGAGAGAGGATACTTCACAAAATAGGGAGCATTCAAGAGGCCCCTTGTAAGGGAAGCCAGTTTTCTCACAAGCGTGCAGATTCGGATTCGGCAGGTCTGGGCTGAGGCCTGAGATTCTGCATTTCCCACAAGCTCTCAGGTGATGCTGCTGCTGCTAGAGATCACACGTTGAGTCCTAGAGAGCCCCAAATGCTGCAGGGATGGGTGGGGAGATCTTTGGCCAGGGCTGCCAGGACTCACCTGGACCACCTGGGCCACTGGCTCCAAATGCAACTGGGTGGGGCCCACACTTGTTCCCAAGTAGGAAACATTCTAAATCTCAGATAAGAATGAGTCTAAAAAAAATATACAAAAGCAGCACGAATAGATTCTTGGTCTCCACCACGTTAGCTTGTCACTAAATAGAACAGACAGCTTAGCCCGGTTTTCTCCCTGGCAACGCCGACCATACATGCCCCACTCCACCCGCAGCCCGTGAGTGGCTCCAGGGCTTCTCTTCCCAGTCATACACTATCAGCCCAGCCAGAGGGTCCCAACCACCCACAGGACGCAGCATGCCCAGGGTGCAGGAGCCTGTAAACACGAATGCAATCTCCCCCCAGAAACTGGGGATGGTGCCCAGCCACCTCCTCTTCCACTGCCGGTGGCACAGAAACAGGACAGGATGGAGACAAAGCTATTTTCTTAAATTCTTTACACTCAGACCCTTAGCAAGCACAGGCAGCAATGTTCTCTTCTTACAACTGACACCTCCATACTCCCTCCCTCATGCCTCTGTGACCTGTCACATTTATACAGACTGGTTCCACAAAACACTTTTTAAATGTGCATTTCTTTAATTTTTAAAAATATACACAGGAGAAGCCATGTGTTTTACATAGGAATACACACATTAACAAAGCATTTGTTATAGTTTTCCAAAACTCTATTATATCAGTCTGAAATTTATAAATTAGGTATATCAGAACTTTAAGTCAAAATGAAATCCCTGAAACTACTGGATATGGTGGACTTTGTCCAAAATCAAATGAACAGAGAATATGAATATGGTTTGTGTTAAATAAGGTTTATTGTTAGCTTTATTGCCTATAGTCTATAAGATGCAACTTTATTGTGCCTTTGCAAACAGGATACATTTCTTAAAAAACTGATCAAAATTTTCCATACATATAGCTCTATATGATAGATTACAGTGCAACACTATTCTTGTTACATAATTCTAGAAATACTATAGAACCCAAGAGCACAGCATAAGCAAAAGAAATACAATCCTGAGCCATCTGAACAAGATGATTTGATGAATCCTTTTAGTGTAAGTTTAGAAAACACGGAGGAGGGAAAAAAAAATACATGCACGCTGCAGTCGTGAGCAAAATACATTAAATGCCTGTTCCTTGCTGGACACAGGTGCGGGGGGGACGGTGAGTCCGGACACATGCACGCTCACACACTCCCATTTTCTTCTCCTGCTTCCCTCCCATCCCCGCTACATTCATTCCCACCCCTTCCCAAAAGAAAAGATCAGGCACTAAGTCCTAGTGAACCCCACATCTGCCTTGCTGGAGAACGTGAAGTGACTGCTAAAATAAGAGTGTAAATCCTCACCCACACACAACACGAAACAAAGCTTGTGCTGTCAGCCAATTCCAGCTGCTGTTGCCTCTTTGGAAGTAAACGAAGCATATGCTCACTACAGTTTAGCACTGTAGACGGAAATGTATTGAAAACAAATCTTTGTTTTCTCTCCCTATCTCTTGAAGTAAAATCAACAGCGGAAAACTCACCCTAAAACTAATTGCCTCATCTGCTATTAAAATACATTTGTCATTCTATTTTTGGTATCTACTCAATTATAGTTCAGTAAGAACAGTTCATGAAGTTTGTACCTGCTTATGGTAAACACTATTGTACCACATAAAACCCACCACAGCTGGACAGGCTTATGGAGCACCAAACCTTCTACGTATGTGTTCCTTGCCAACATTCCCTCAAGACCACAGCATTCTAGTGTTACCAAGAATAATGTACGTAGAGTTAAGTAATGAAAGGTATTTGGTTTGTGTCTTCACCTTACACATCCTAGTGATGAAATTAACCAAACCATGCCTTCCCTGAAAATAACCTGAGTCTGCTGACTAAGCAAACTGACCAGCTTGACTGTCAGTCCACTAATCAGAAGTTGAGCTGGAAAACCAGAGGGCTAATGTCTACCAGCAGCTTGTCTTGTGCGAATAACCAAGAGTCCTTGGTTTTTGCAATATCTGTTGTCCCAAAGGCTGAACCACTGAGGTGGAAATAACTCACAGCATAAAGAATACTGAACAAACTACATACCTGTGGGACTACCTGGAGAGAAAAAGGATCCTCATTCCCCACATAATTTGGTGTGGGTTTTAGTGTCTCTGTATACATCAGCTGCTACAGAAAAATCAAAAGATTAACTTCATACCTTTCTTATTTTCAATTAAATGCTCATACACTCACAAAATACTCACACACCCTATGAATATGAGGTGGCTCTTCTCTTCAACATTTTTTAAAATCAAGAGGCACCAATACCCGTTCATTTTTGTATTAGAAGTTTCACATAATCACCACCAACATAACAGAAATGGTATTTGTGATGATCACACTAAGGAGAAAAAAGATTGAAAGACAAACTTAGCCACTGTACTTCAGATTGTACTTGAAAGCACAGACGCTCTGGCTAAATCAGAATCTAAGGTTCTAATAAGGTTTTATTGGTTTAGCATAGTCCCATGGCCTTTGTCCATGACTGATAAATGGAATGGTTCCTAAGGAAATTGAGGAAACCACTCTGAAACTCTGTTTGCAATGTATATTATTATAATGAGTCTGACTCTAAAAAAACCTTGGCTCTATCATGACCAGAGCGTGACAAAGAGCATCCTCCTGTGCTGCTGACATACACAGCCTCAGCAATAAGGTCCTGACACCACTGCTGAAGGTGTTTCTAGAGTTGAAAGGACAACATGTTGTATTTCAGCATCTTTGGTTAAGGTCTGGCCTTTTCAAATCCACCTCTCCTTCACATTTAGTCACCAATGTTTTAAGTCCATGCAGTTAGTTAAAGGTCACAAGACATAATTTTCATGTTAAATTGTCAAATCAAGAGTGTCAAATTTCTGGCCCTACCTGCCCACTAGGACTACAAGGACCTACATAGGAAACTGTAAAATCAAATGCTTCAGTTAAAAGCATGCTCTTTTTAAAGTTTCATGAGCTGCACAGAAAACTGTCAACAGGATTCCCAACACCGGGAGAGGGACAAAGCAGAGTTCTGGCTTTTGTCCTTAAAAGTGGCCTGAGCCGACTATGTGAACTGTCTGGCCCCCAAAATATTTACCACTGGCCTCTTGAGCGACATCTACATTGTACAAATCTCATGTGAAGCCTGAACGTTTTTTAAGTGTTTGAGGTGGAAAGGTGAGACTAAGTTGTGAGTAAAGCTAAATTTGGGCTAGTGAGAAAAAAAGTAAAAAACAAAAACAAAAACCATACTCTGGATTCTAACTCAAAGGGAAATATAGGTCATAAACCAGGTTTACATCCTCAGCCAGAGTTGCCTGGAATTCTCTACCTTCTCTTACGGAGTCCGAGGAGTTTCTCTCTGCTCTTTGCCTTCACTGCTTTAGTGGAGAGAGGGGAAACTTTAGGGAGGGTTTCAACAGGAAAGCAGAAACACAGGGATAAAGTCCCGGTGGGGCCGACAAGACAGAGGTCGTCGGACAGAGCAAACACTCTGAGCAGGCCAGCCGCCATTCCTGGCTAACCCACCCGGCACACAGTAGCGCTCAGAGGAAGCCTGACCACACACAGCAGTCAAGCAGAGCTTTCCTGCAGTACCCCTTTCCTTTAAGACAAAATCCCTGCTCTCCCAGATAAACATTTCAGGACAAACCATGCGGGCTGGTATATGACTGCTCATGCCGACACTCTCTAGGGAACTCAGCACCAAACCTGTTTTCTCCCTCCCTGCAAAAGAAACCAATCTGCAGTTTAAAATGCAAAGTGTCACGGTCCTCTTTCCTTCTGTATTTTCTTTTCTCTTTGTTTTCTTATCAAAGTTTTCCTATAGTGATGTTCAGTTCCATGTCAGATGAAAGAAAGTTGCAAAATATTTGGTGATTTCCATGTAACATTCTTCTCATAATGAAGTGACTTAACGGGTGCAAGTCAGAAGTATGTCCACAGAATCCTTTCCATGTAGTTCGTTCATCATACAGAGAAAGACTCTTACACATGGCTATTTCTGGACAGTGCATTAAATGAAGATACCTCACAAGAGAAAAGATCATCATCTGTATCCATTAGAGTAATATACAGATTCACAGCCAATGAGATGATACACTTTGCAGAAGAGAGGCATTGAACAGTATACTATTCAAATACAAAAACAGCAATAAACATATTCTGCACTACAGAAAATATGCTAACTTCTAACTTTAAGGATTTAAAGTAACGAGTCTGGTAACTGCGTATTAGGACTGGAACATGCTTCTTCCCTTCCAGATACACAATGTTTGATGCTGGTGCACATATATACACACACAAACAACACTGTGTCTGCAATGATAAACAAATGAAACAGACAGCCAAGTCCTGAAGGCAGATTTCAGAGAATAGGGCTACCAAGACCAAGAGAGCAAATATTAACTTAAGAACACCTCTAACTTCAGAATTTCATTTTATTGAACACACTTTTAAAACAAGCACCTCTTGGCAATAAAAGCAAAGAAACAATAGTACTCCTTCCACTCTGTTCTAGTGGAAGACTTCTCACACCAACCTGCTAAATTCATGATGGAATTTGAAACAGGCAGCCCACTGGGGCTACAAGCAGAGCTCAAATGCACATCTGCTGACTTCGCGGTGAGAGCTGGAGCAGAGGAAAACATCAAAAAGCAAATTGGGAATCTATCACAGCTTTCTTCCTTAAGCAAAAAAAATGCAAATTAGTTTTATAACCACAATTCAGTTTTTCAAACTTTTTCTGAAGAATTTTCATTTAATTATGTATACATAACAGGAAGTAAAACTTTTTCACAAACATTCTCAAACCTTACAATTATCAAGAAATGACAAAAGTAAAAGCAGGAGATATATTAAACACATGGCAGGGAGGTTGATTTCTGTTTCTGCTCTTAAAAAGTAAAAAAATCACCATATAATTAAGTACAAAAACCTGCATTGAATGACAACTGCTGGTGTATTTACTTGATCAAAAATGAAGACCAAGAATATAATAAAGCCCTATGATAATATTCATCTGGAGCACTCCCCTCGGTGTGTATACACTAAAATGTTGGCAAAGTTTCTGGAGCATTAGCTTATATAAACACGAGAGTCCTCAGTTAGCTGCATTAAATGGAACGGTTCTCTTCTGAAATGCGCCACAATTCAGTTTCACTTACAAATTGCAAATTAAAGTTATTTCTTCAGAAAAATATCTGTTTGGCATCTCCTGGACTTTGTTCCATTGGACAATATGGACATTTTAATCTAAAGACAAAAAAGAAAATACTGAATCAAGGAACAGGATCAGTACCAAGCATTCAATTTTCATCTACAGAATGTCTCTAACAACTACACACATACACACACACACACACACACACACAATCTGTATTTTGTTTTGAGGGTTAACTGTGCTTTCTCTTAATGTAACAGCCAAGCTCTGAAGGGTCACAAGTAAACACCAATCAAGCCAGACACTAAAATGAAGGCTCCTCTTCTGTGGAAATTAGTGAAAACTGTTTCGTAAACAAGACAAAGACAACGGTTTTGAAAACTGCTTTTGCGGTTTTAAAAGTCAATCCAATTCTTCTCCTCCAAAGTTTAGGTTTTTCCTGTCTTTAAACAAGTTTCAAATGTACTGGTCACAGAATGCAGTGACGTGCAGCAAACGTGACACGAGGTGCGGAGCCTAGAAGAGCAGCACAGAGCGGCAAGCTCGAGGCACCTGGAAGGCAGCGGCACCAGCAGGGTTGCTGCACGGGCTGGGAAGGGCACAAGTAGCTTCAGTACATGCCAGGACCTTCTTTCAAAAGAAAGACTTTACCATAACGGGTCTGAAATGAACTCCAATGAAAAATGTTCTAACTGCCTAAACTAGAAATAGGCTTTTGAGACTTTTTTTTTTTTTAATAAGGTGGGCCCATTATGGGTATAAAACTTATAAATGTATACACTCTTTGAATTAGCAATTCCAATTCTACAATTTACATATCGCATGTAGATAAAATAATTCACTTTATAACAACAAAAGTTAAAGGTTCATTGATAAGGAACCGGTTAAATAAATTACCACATTTCCATACGGTAGAATACTCTGCAGCTTTAAAAACGAATGAGGGCTCTCTCTGTAGCATATAAAAGACCTCCGAGATATATCATTAAGTAAAAAAAGCAAAGCTTAGAACATATATAGTGTGTTACATTTCGTGTAAAGGCAGGGCACAATGACAATGTACTGCCTACCCCAAAAGTTAAGATTAAAGAACATGCATATAAATCTAATCACCAAATTTATGAATAAAAAGACTGAGAAAAAAATCAGATACCACCCCCCCAACTAAGTTCCAAAAGAAAAATGTTTTTACCAACGTTTAAAAAGTCACACACTTACTTGCTACCATTAAACATTTTATTCAGGGCATCTCTTGATATAATATGACCACAGACCAATTTCATGGGTGGGTTGTTATCTGTTGTTTGCTGACGAAGAATGGGACAGGCAAATATAGAGTGATACCAGCACTTTTTACCAAGGTCCACTTCAATCTTGAAAACAGTAAAAAGGCTCAAGTTATATTTCAGAAAACCATCTACAATGTTAATATGCACTGGGCAGCAAAAACATTTATCAGTCTACTCATCTGAATTTAACTTTTTACAGCACTCTTACCTCAAAGATGGGTAGTCTTAGGGATCCAAGTGTTACTTCATAATTCTAGTTAACCTTCAAAATTATTTACAACACTACTTTTCAAACCAAATTCTGATGTTTGAGGAGTCAAAGGGAAGGCAATGCTCTAGAAGTCAAACACTCTTGAAAATTTGTCAGGATATACCCTAAGGGCAAAACCCACCAGAAACCCTGTTTTGTAGCGCACTTAGGTGGGTGATAAAATTCAGTGTAATAATAATTCTTTTAAAGGCAGACTAAACAAGGTTTACTTTTGTGCAAGCTTCAGATCTGAGTTTCCCACGTTTTGTGTGTAACAGTCCAGAGAAACCACCTGAAACAAGGACTTGATGCTCAAGTTCAGCAAGACCTTCCACAATCTGTACATCAGAGCCCATGGCAGGTGTCTCGATTATTTCTCTTCAGAGTGAACAAAACAAACAAAAGCTATGAAATCACCAAGCACAGTGATTGGCACATGACAGTGGCTCCACAGACGTTAGTTGTTTTCTTTCCGTCTAAAATGGTTTAATCAATATAAAGTCTATTACCCAGACTCTTTCAAGAACGTTGACAAAGTGTAACAGAATAATCCTGAGAATAAACGGCCAGATCATCACCTCCCATTGCTTTACTACCCTGACACGCAGGCTTTTCAAGCAAATTCAGATTTCAGTATGCTCTATGCTAGTGCCAAATGTCACAGATGCTCCTAACACAGCTCGGAAACTGCCAGACTCTTGCAGGCACCTGCCTCAGCAAAGCAAGTGAAGGCTCAAGTTCTTTTCCCGTGTTCAAATGAGCAGCAATGAAGCAGGGCAGCTGCCTGTATCTTGACCACACCCAGCACTGGCAGTGCACCTGTGTCTTTAATCAAAACAGATCTCCGAGAAGCTGGGGCAACCAACTGATAGTTACCAGCTGGAAGTAACTGCAGATAAACCTGTGCACAGGTGTGGCAAAAAAGAAGCGAAACTCCAAATGCATATTTAGCCTTTTAGGATCTCGACAGGAACCACGACAGGAATGGTAATTCTAGTCAGAGTTTTAGTGCCTGCTCTGGCACTAAATGAGAGATCCGGTGGAAACTCTCATACAGTGACCTTTGTCACTCCATGTCATGACTACTAGGGCAGCAAAACTGGAGTACCTACTGTGTCCCATGTTATTCTAAGCATGCCAATGTTATCTCTAGCCTTTAATAGTCCCATAAAGAGAAGAATGGTCCCCATTTTAGATATGGACCAACTACTGCTTAGAGAAGCAGTAGAGCTGGCAAGTGATGGGAGCTAATGTTTAAAATCATGGTCTGTTCCATGACAGCAGTGGACACAGCACCGGAAGGCCACTGATGACTGCAGGTGTCCCAGGGACAATCTTTATTTTAAAAGCTATGTGCTATTTTAATAAGTACAAATCATAATCTCATAAATATCAATGCTTAAGACAAAACTAAATTTAACCAACTGACTCACTGCTTTTATATTTTAAAAGAATCATAGTGTAAAGTGGTTTGTCAACTACACTGCAGAACACAATGCATGCTAAGTGTATACCCCCCACACCTGTGATGTCTTCCTTGATGAGTTTGCACTGCCACTCTAAGTCAAAATTTTATTTTTCTAAGTCAAAACAAAAAACAAAAAAAACTCCAGTGCTTCCAAAATGTACTAGTTTCCCATTTCTATTGTTTAATGATGTCTACACATAACATAAAGAATCCTGGCTGAACGGCTGTAATAATGTTCTCTGGTTAAAAGGCAAAAGGTTAAAAGGCAAAACAGGCATTTTAAACCCTTAACATCCATGTCCTCCTAACGGCAGGAAAAAATGAACAACCAATAGAAAGTGGAACTCACGGGTAATTCATCTTTCTGGTTCCAAACTCCAGTGCACTGCCTCTGTTCAATCACAGCTTTGATATTAATTAAAGCTGGCAGCGCCACACAACCTGCTGAGAAACTGGGGGAGCAGAAGAAGAAATGTCAGTGCCAGGCCAGGTGGCAGACAGCCTGGTCCTAGGAAATGTCAATTCCTCCAGGCTCCAGGTGCCGAGGGCCCTGGCCATTGGACAGGGCACAAAGCCCTCTGCTTTGCTGAATTAGCACCCCAAAAAAGCTTTACATTTTACAAAACCACCAGATTCAACAGGCTCTGCTTATCAGTCATGAATGACACTCTGAAACAGTTTGCATATAGACCAGGACAGCCCTGCCCAGGGCAGAAGTGCTCATTTCTCAGATCTGGAAGTGCTGACAGTCAACGCTCAGCTGAGTCCCTCTTCAGGACTGTCCTCACTTGAAGCAAGTCACCTGACCAGGGTCACATGTGATGATTGCTCTGTGTGAGGACACAGAAGCCCAGTTCTGTTGCCCCAATTTGGGACAATTCCACAGGCCCATCAGAGCTCCAGAGCTCCTCAGGGAGGGGCTGAGGTCTTTGATAAGACACTGCAGTCCAACTTACCCTCTGCCTAATCTTGCTGCTTTCATTTCTCCACCAGGGCTGATCCTAAAGAACTTCCTGCATGTCAATCTCCACCATTTCACAATCTGTTCCCCCAGAGAACCTGACCTGCAGCCTGGTCATGCCTTACAGTGTCTCCTACGCTCAGGTGGAACACCCTATGGAACACAGACGGTACCTTATTCATTTTTGCAGCCCACACAATGCCTGGTACATAGCAGGGATTCAAAACACTTGAGGAATTAAAGAGGAGAGAGCTAAAGGTCATTTTCTTAAAACAGGTTCATAAACTTCTTGGCTTCAGAACCCACTTACATGCTTAGATATTAAGAATCTCAAAAGACATTTGTTTTTGTGGGTTATAGCTATCATTATTATACTAGAAATTAAAACTGAAAATTTTTTTAAAATATCAATTTAAAATAATAAATATATTACATGTTACAAGTAACATTCTTACCCCCCAAAAAACCTCTATATTTTCCAAACCAAAAATAAATTTGTGAGAAGACTGGCACTGCTTTACATTTTTAACAAATCTCTTTAATGCCTAGCTTGATAGAAGACAGATGGATTCTTCTATCTTCTTCTGCAATCTGTTCTGTTAATTGAAGTAAATGGGGGAAAAAATCTAGCTTTAAACAGATATGTGGTAATTTAACGCCTTTTCAGACAATTGTGATATTCCCCTTTAATGCCACACCAAAACTCAACAAGGGATAGTTTCTTTTTTTTTTAAGATTTTATTTATTCATTCGAGACAGAGATACAGAGAGAGAGAAAGAGAGAGATCAAGAGCAGGGGGAGAGGCAGAGGGAGAAGCAGCCTCCCCGCTGAGCCAGAAGCCAGACATGGGGCTCGATCCCAGAACCCTGGGATCACGACCCGAGCCGAAGGCAGACGCTTAACCATCTGAGCCACCCAGGTGCCCCAAGGGATAGTTTCTTAAGGTTAGTTGCAAAGTGAAATCTGAATCCTTATCATTGAATCTTTTTGTACGCTACTACATTAAAATCCAACTGTGTCTCATACTGTGAATGACTCTTCTACTCACGTATGATTTTGTAAGATTACAGCGAATTAAGATCTTCTAAGTGTTAATACATTTCATTATACAATATCAAAGAACTCAAACTCATTAATATCACCAATCTCATCAGAAAAGTACTGGGAAGCTGTCAAGCCCACAGTGGGAGGTAAAAGTTTCCCAAAATTTCTATTTTAGCTTAAACTCATGAATTTAAAAGATACAAAAAGACAGCTGCTTTCCTTGACATGACAGACTCACTTCATACATGTGAAAAAACATCTGCCAAAAACCTAAGTATAATTAACTGTAGTTTATCTCTTAGTGATTCTTTCAAGTAAGAACTGTTTCATGAAAAAAACCAAACTAGTTAATTGGCTCATAAAACTCCAACAACATACAGGTGGTTTTTGAGACAAGCATGATACTTTGGCTTGACGCTGAACTGCTTTATGAGAACTTCCCACTTTTCACAAAGAATATTAAAAAGATGTGTACTTAAAGGTCAGGATGTAATAAAACTAATAATTTTTAAAGAACAGTCTGAAGTGAAGCTAGTGTGTCTTAAACTGCAAGTGGGTGGTGGAGTACAGCGTGTGAGGAATACAGCGAGTCCTTCCAGAGTCTGGGACCACCGCACTGATCTGTGCTAAGGCTTGAGCAGTTTAATCCACTATTATGTCTGCACCATCCGCGCAAATATCAACACAGTGGAAAAGGTTCTCAGGGAAACCCAGAGGTTCACAGGTCACGCTGTTCTAAAACTGTCTCACTGCCAATTGTGATGATCTCTTGAAATACCAACTGTACCGTCCCTCAGAAAGACAAACGTTGTCTTCAGGTTTGACAATGAGAACTACACAAGAAATTAAGAAAAAACAAAACAAAGCAGCACATATTTCAATAGCACAATCAATCTCCATACCTGACGCTGAGGGGGGACTCCACCGAGAGCCCCAGGAGGGCACAGGCATCCCTTGTAAAGATGTCACAGATGTCAGCCCACTGGTTTGCATCAAGTAGGTGAACATACGGCGAGTTCTCTATCCCTTGTCTCAGGTACACAAGGCTTCCCATCAAAACCTGAATGTCTACGCAAAAACAGCAGCAATTTGTAAGTGTGAATGATCACACCCGAAATAGGTGCTGAGAAAGGCAAAAATTCCCCCAACTGACATAGCCTAAATTATTAACAATGTCTCTTAAAATTCTCGTCCTTAAGCTTGGTTTCTCCCTTCAACCTAAAGTAGAGAAATGGCAGAGATAAAGGGGAAGAAAAGGAAAGCATTAAATATGAGCCTCAAGTTACTTTATTTTTATACACAGCATCGTCTAACTACCACCGTCTAGAGCAGTAAAGATGACATCATAAATGAGGCCATCACAGATCGCTGGCCGCAGAACTGGCCAGAACACTGGTACCCCCACATTGGCGCTCAGTGTCACTGCTGTCACCCTGGTGCGCCCTCAGACACTGTGTGGGGGCAGTTAGCAGCAGCATCGGGGGTGGCCTTGCTCTTTCTCATATTTCTTACATATGGAATTCCAAAAATGCAATGTCTCTTTCATCCTAGAGGCTTCAATGTTTTACTTTTGTTCTAGGTCCAGGCAGACCTTTGCCTAAGTGATTATCATCTCCAATTCTTTCAGTTCATTAGCAAATATGTATTACATCTCCTTAAGATAAACTCAAATCCCAGTGGTGGCTTTAGGTCTGTTTCAAATATCAAAAACATTCAGGGCGCCTGGGTGGCTCAGCTGGTTAAGTGTCTGACCCTGGATTTCAGCTCAGGTCTTGATCTCAGGGTCGTGAGTTCAAGCCCCATGTTGGGTTCCACGGCCAAACAAAGAGAAAAACAAATATCAAAAACATTTGACTCCAGACTCACCTTTCTGATGATTTAGGGCAAATGGCTGAAAATTTTTAGCATATTGTAATGCCTCTCGCTGATTCGTAGTTCCACCCATTAATAAGCTAATAAAATACAGTCTGTGTAGTTTAAATTCCAAGGAGCTGTTTTGGGCTATGAGCATTTCTCGGTTTGATACTGCCCATCTAAAGAAAAAGCGGAAAAGATTTTAATGCAATTAAGAGCATATGCGAATGTCAAAAAGTCTTTGAAACCTAGCAATACAATAAAAGGGTTTGGTCTGCCATCTTGTGGAAATCAGTGGTAACATCAACTCCCTGACCCAGAGACTTGTACAGAAAATAAACAGAACTACACCCAAAGAGGCACTTCAGCCAGTGAAAGGAAGAAAAAAATATTAAGTCAGATGACAGTTACATATTTAGTAAGGTTTTACACCAAGACAAAATTGACTCTGATGAGTCACATGATATTTCTGGAACTATACAAGCCCACACTTTGAAGCAGGTGTCAGCCAAGAGATCCACTACTCTTTCCCCGTTAAACTGGCATATTTATAAATGAATCACAAGATTCTGAATGGGAACCATCTATTTTTAGACTTCTGTTGGGTGCAACATTTTGTGCTACACACTTTGAGACTGAAAACAGCAAACACCGGTATTTGCCTCAAGGTGCTTTCAGTCCAATCAGGCAGATAAAACTACATATATATGTGCCAAAATGATTCATACAAACTGCTAATGAGAGAAAGAACAATGTTCATTTTTGAGTGATCCAAAGTACAGGGACTCAGGCCTCTACAGTACAAACAGTCAGGATAACCAATCTTGAGCCGGGACTACCACTTCAGGTGGGCGCGAGAGCAGAAACATACACCAAGCCAGTTGTTAAAATCAACTTTGCAATCAAGTGGTAAGGAAGCATATTAAGATGTAGAAGCTGTTACTATCATATTCTCCTTTAATCTGACCTTTAGTTTGACAAATAGTCCCCTCCTAAGCCATTTCACCAAGGACCACTAGAACCTGAACTGGGTATGAATATAAATCTGGTGGAGTAGCTCTACAAACTACAAAAGTAAAACGTCTCAGGTTATTCATAATGGATCGGCTGACTGGGATTAGACCTCACAGAACTGTACTTTTACAGGATCCTACCCTAAGGGTTGCACACGCACATGAATATTCTAATCAACTTGTGGATGCATCCAAATCTTAAGAGTCTAATCATGAAGCTTCTCTGACCTAAAAATAAATGATTGTTAAAAATATTAATCACCTGAACTTTGGAAATATTTATTTAAATGTAAGTAAGCCTTGAATCGTTGCCTGGCACTAACACAAATGCAGTCAAGCTGCAACACCAAGGGATAAATCCCGCTGACACAAACAAGGTACTTTTGGCAGCAATCTTTCATGAATGCCCAACCAACTATCAGTACCAAAAGTATTGTGCTTTTGGCAATCTCTAAGTTTGTCAGGCGCCTTCTTGATTTCCAGTTCCAAAGAGTACATTTATTTTTTTTAATTTAATTCCAGTACAGTTAATATACAGTGTTATAGAAGTTTCAGTGTACAATATGATTCAACAATCCCATACATCACCTGGTGCTCATCACGACAAGTGTATTCCTCAATCCCCATCACCTATTTCACCCATCCCCCCACCCACCTCCCCTCTGGTGACCATCAGTTTGTTCTCTTTAGTTAAGAGTCTGTTTTTTGGTTTGTTTGGGTTTTTTTTTAAAATGTTTTTTATTAAAGATTTTATTTATGTATTTATTTTGACAGAGAGAGACAGTGAGAGAGGGAACACAACCAGGGGGAATGGGAGAGGGAGAAGCGGGCTTCCCGTGGAGCTGGGAGCCCAAGGTGGGGCTTGATCTCAGGACCCTGGGATCATGACCTGAGCTGAAGGCAGACGCTTAAGGACTGAGCCACCCAGGCACCCGTTTTTTGGTTTATCTCTCTCTTTTCCTTTGCCTGTTTTCTTAAATTCCACATGAGTGAAAACACATGGTATTTGTCTTTCTCTGACTGACTTCACTTAGCATTATACCCTCTAGCTCCATCCATGTCATTGCAAATGGCAAGATTTCATTCGTTCTTTTTTTATGGCTGGATAATACTCCATTATGAATCTATACCACATCTTCTTCATCCATTCATCTATGGACCAAGGAGCACATTTAAATCAGGTTACTTACCAAAAGTTTATCCTACTCCCTCACACCCATAAGAGCATGAGTATGTTTTCCTACTAACAAGTAAAGAGAGGCAGCAAGCTTTTTCTTTTTTCTGTTTCTGATATGAGGTACATGTGTAAAAGTTTGTAGAGTCAAAGAAGGGACCTAACAGAGAGTAACTACAAATTTTAATAAACAATGAAAGCCAGCAGAGAAAGGGCAAAGTCCTTAAGTAGGCAATTCACAAAGGAAGAAAATCTATTTCATCTTCCCAGATGTTCAGAATGTAATATTACAGGGGGGAAAAGTTGTGATATGTAGGAAAATTAACTATGACCCCAAAGAAGTTGGATTGCACACATTATTTACCAACTGCTCTGGCACGGGCTATGACAATCCAGAACAGGGCACCAACTATCAGAGCAGCACCAGGAGGCTACAAACAAGGGAAGGACACACCATGGAGTAGTAGCTAACTAGCTAACCACTAGCAGGCAGTCCAGAGGACAGTGATTTAACACACACTCCATGCTGTCCAATGTTTTCTAAATGTTCTATAATGAACATATATTACTTTTATAGTTAAGAAGGTAATAACTTTTTAAGCAAATGCAAAAGTAAACAAAATTTCTTAACTTCCTTTTTTTATCAGAACTTAGACTAATTGCAAATTACATTTCCTAAAAGTAATTCAAGCCATGAATTATGAATTTAAGCTCTGCAAACTCTAAATATATGTAACCCATTTAACTTGGAGAGGTATTTACTTAGACAACATAGTTCCTAATTTACCACTTATTTTTACCCACCTTCAAATTTAGTTATAAACAAGGCTACAAAATAATCAGAAAAAACTCCCATTGCTAGTTCCTGACCTCCACCCCTACCATGAGATCTTTAGGAAAGTAAATAGATATTCCATTACAAAAAGGAGTTGGAGGAGTATGGGGAGAATGCAAAATCCAAATTCACAGAATATAAGTTATCATGTGTTTCTAAAATCATATTTCTTGACATTCTATCCTTAAACAATGTATTATCTTCATATATTAAGATATATCAATGTATCAATGTATATCTTCATATATTAAGCCTAAATCTCACAAAGCAAGGGATTAGATTAACCATTTCTAAGCTTCTCCCTTTCTGGAAAAATGTCATCTTGTAAACTAAGGATCTCTGCCCCCAAACATGTAAGTAACATTTAAGGACTAAGATAAAAACCTTGCCCTATGGTACCTCTCCCTCATAGTCCAAGACTGTACCCCCAGGTACCCACATTTGTATTTTCCTGACCCCAATTCCTCGGCCATAGCTAACTGGCCAGGTAAACATTGGTTTTAAAGTCACGCTCTTGTGTTGTCTCCTATAAGCGAGTTCATCTATCCTTTATATCCTTCATGATCACTTTACAATCCTGTATCTTTTGTTAAGTTCTTGATGGTTGCCTTCCTTGACAATCATCATAACACCTGCCTTAACTAATCTTTGGAGTCTGGGCACAAATTTCACAGCAGCATTTTTAGCCACACCAGCAGCCTCCCCAGAGAGCTCAACATTAGTCAACTCATGATGACTTCTGAATTGATGAAACCATCTCTGACTGGCAATAAAGTTCTTCACTCTCCTTGTAATCACTGTTTTCTTTCATGGAGGCAACTAACTTCAACACAACCTGAATGTCAGCCAAACTGATGGAGGTTTTTTTTTTCCTTAAACAATCTTCAATCTGAACTAGTAGTAAATGCTCCGTTTAAACCATAGGCAGCTTTCTGTTCCTCGTGCAATTTAAATTAAAAGATGTCAAAGTGCCTCTACTTTGGTTTTTATATTCATTGGGCTTTTTCAGTATGCCTTATATCATAACTGCATATAAGGCCTACGTCTCATCCTAGCTTCCCCCTGCCATTGTCATTTTTCAAATCTCTCTAATCACATTTAATTTCACTTCTAGCAATTCATCTTTGTTGACTAAACTCTTTCAACTATCCATTTCTGTAATATGCTGTGGGTTCACCTCTAGGAGATGAGCAGGCAAGACAACTACACACTTGCTGTCTGAGGGTAACAGATGCTCAGTGACCAACCACTGACAGACCTGGAAGAAAGTGATGTGGTTGGCTGTGATCATGATGCACATCTGTTATTCATGTAGTGATTTGTGGACCGAAGAGCTGGGAGGACACTTTGTAGTTTATGCAATTACTTACAGTTAATATACTGTGGCACCTGAAATCTGAACCTTGTTGTTGGGGGGAACCTCAAATGTGGTAACTGAAGTCCAGGCATACTGAAATTGTACAGAGAAGACAGCCCATAGGCTCAATAGAGAAGGCAGGGAGGAGAGAAAGAGCATCTTGCAGAGAGGGGAGAAAGAGCATCTCACAGGGAGAAGGTTATTCTGTAGCTACCAGGAAGGCCCAGAGCAGCACAACAGAGACAGATGCAACATTTGAGGAACTGAGCAAGTCCATGTGTCTATGGCACAACTCTTAAAGAACCAGAAAGAAAACTAGATTAGTTTTCTTTTTCTCACCAAGATCCCTGTCCCTCCGCTTTTCTTTTCTGAGAGGAAGAGAGCTCGGATGGAAAACCAAGAGGTTTATGCCAGGAGGGGAAGTTATGCAACACAGGGGTGGGTGTCGAGGGAGAAAGCAATGGTTAGCCAACAGGATGAACTAGAGGCGTTTGTCATGTGGTGTGAAGAATCAAAGGAGGAAAATAGCCATGCTGAGAATAGAATGGAGATAGAGGGGCAGGCCAAGAAAAACACACAAACATATTCAGATAACTTGATCTAGCAACTTCCATTACCGTCGAGTGATGTGTCCAGGTGAATTAAAGTTAGTCTAGATAGAAGACCTGTTTGCTTTATGACATTAGAAGCCATGATCCTACCTCCCAATGTAGGTGCTGGTTAATTTTTGCAGAGGTACAATCAGAAAGTGAGCAGCTGAGAACAGAGTTGAAAACCTCAAGGCCCACGCTCAATTACCA